AGGGAAATGGGATTGTGGTGGGGTGGTTGCTGTATGTGTTTGGAGGGGGGGTGGGTGATGTAGAGGCAGAGGCCACCAGGCTCAGCAGAGGGGAGCCAGATGAGGCTGGAAACTCAAGCGAAGACCACTGTAGCCAGTGCCCACTGGGATCAGGGTCAGGGCTCCAGGTGTGATGGGTTCAAGGATTACCATGTAGATGGGATGAGGGCACAGTGTGGGACCAGGATCAGGACTCAGAGTCACCCAGGCCAGGGCTCCGTTTGGGATCAGGGATCAGCATGTGGCCAAGGTCATGGCTCAGAGTGACCAGGCAAAGTCTCTGAGGGTGCCTAGATCAGGGCTCAGCTGTTTGAGGTCAGGGCTCAGACTCCCTGATATGAGGACCAGCATGTGTTTTTCTCAGCGTGTCCCCACTGCCTGCGGGACTCCACCCGCCCCGGCACAGCCAAGGCAGCCCTGGCCTGGGGAAACTGGCGCACTGGGGAAAGGGATTTGCTTCGCTCCCGGCCAGCTTGGTGCCCCTGTGGGCCTGTCCTCCAGCAGGGATGAGGGTGTGGCACAGTTTGTAACATCCTTCCCCTCCTGAGCCCCAACTCTAACTGGTCCCTCCCTGGCCCACTGGCCCCTCGCCCCTGGGCCCACCACACTTGCTCTCTCCCATGGGGCTAGAGGAGGATGGGTGGCCCCTGCTGAGTGTCACACAGGAGGGACTGGGATGCTAGAATGTCCGCCACAGGCCAGTGACTGGGATGGGCAGCAGGGGTCTTGGCACCCATGGGTCCTCCCAGCAGCCTCCGAGGGCAGATGTCCATGGTGGAGGACTTAACCAGGCCGCGTCCCCTCTGCTGTGCCCACTCTGTCCAGCTGGACAGGGGTCTCCAGCCCCTAAGAGGCAGGGCTCAGGGTCTCAGGGTCCCTGTGTGGGGCTGGTCCTGGCCACCAGGAAGGTCATGCTCAGGCAGGGACTTCCTGCTTCCCCAGATGGGGCTGGGGCACTGTGCCCCAAAGCTCACAGGCCACCCTCCTCCCGGCCTCTCCCCAAAGGCCTCTCCTTTCTCCTGAAAAAGCCAGAAATGTCCTTATTTGGAGGACCAGCCCCAGCCAGGGTGGGGGGTGGGGTCTCGTTAACCCTTCCTTTATAAATAGAGGGATAAATCGCAGCCCAGTTAAACACCCAGAGACAGGAACATAAACAGAGGGGCAGCCCCAGCCCACCCGTGGTCCCAGCCCACCCCTGTCCCTACAGCCAGCCCCATAGCCCTCAGCCCGCCTGTCTCCCCACCCTGTCCCTGACTCCCTTTCACCCCTAGCCCCCAATACACCTCTGTCCCCTCCAGACCACCCCTACATCCCCAGCCTGTCCTGTGGCCTCAGCTTACTCCTAGTCCCCAGCCAGCCAGCCCCTGGGACAGCCAGCCTCTCCCCCCACCCCTAGAATGGGGTGTTTATTTGACTCACACCCTGCCCCCCTGACTCCAACCCCAATGGATCCTCAGTGTAAGGAGAGTGTTTGGAGAAACTGCCTGGTGGGGCTGTCTCCCGCCTCCAACTGAGGAGGCCCAGACGGGCAGTCTTGAGGAAGGGGTCCGTGAAGGTGGACCTGCGCAGTGGGCTCGGGGCATCTCAGAGTGCCGCAGCCTACTTGGGGCACACAGGCCCTGTGCCAAGATTATCTCGGCTCATCCCCAAAGCAACCCCCCCAAGGCCCCAACTGGAGGGCTCAGGAAGGGAGGCACAGAGAGATTAAGCGGCTGTCTGAGGTTGCACAGCAAGCTAGTGAAGAAGCCAGATTTGGAGCAGGAGCCAAGGTGTGCCCTCCCCTGACCCCATGTGCTTGCCAAGCGGGTTCTCCTCCTGCTTCCGGCTCAGAATGTAGCATGTGTAGGAGGTGCGCTCCGGCAATCCTCGGGGCTGGTCTTCAGGCTACACGGACCCCTAGTGCCTGCCTGTGCCCCAAGCCCCGGGTCTGGTTGCGTGACCCACCTGGGCTCGGAGGCTGGAAGGTGGATGGGCCTGGGGCACCCGGGAGGCCTAGCAGTGCCTCCATAACTTGCTCCTTCCTTCCAGGCCCGGCGCCATCATGGGGGCCGCGACGCTGGCGGGAGCCTGGGCGGCCCCCAATGCCACAGCGGCAGGCCCAGCGGCGGGCGCCAACAGCAGCGGGCCAGCGCTGCCCCTCTTCCACCTATTCGCCCTGATGGACGAAGAGCTGCACGCGAGCTTCCCGGGCCTGTGGCTGGCGCTGATGGCCGCACACGGAGCCATCTTCCTGGCGGGGCTGGCGCTCAATGGGCTGGCGCTGTACGTCTTCTGCTGCCGCACGCCGGCCAGGACGCCGTCCATCACCTACACCATCAACCTGGTGGTCACCGACCTGCTGGTGGGCCTGTCCCTGCCCACCCGCTACGCGGTCTTCTACGGCGCCCGCGGCTGCCTGCGCTGCGCCTTCCCGCACGTCTTCGGCTACTTCCTCAACATGTACTGCTCCATCCTCTTCCTCACCTGCATCTGCGTGGACCGCTACCTGGCCATCGTGCCGCCCGATGGCTCCCGCCGCTGGCGCCAGCCGGCCTGTGCCCGGGCCGTGTGCGCCGCGGTGTGGCTGGCGGCGGGCGCCGTGACCCTGTCCGTGCTGGGCGTGGCGGCCGGCGGCGCGCCCTGCTGCCGCCTCTTCGCGCTGACCGTGCTGGAGTTCCTGCTGCCGCTGATGGTCATCAGCGCGTTCACGGGGCGCATCGTGTGCGCGCTCTCGCGCCCGGGCCTGCTGCGCCAGGGCCGCCAGCGCCGGCTGCGGGCCACGCAGCTCCTGCTGACCGTGCTGCTCATCTTCCTCGTCTGCTTCACGCCTTTCCACGCCCGCCAGCTGGCCGTGGCGCTGTGGCCAGACCTGCCGCGCCGCGCCAGCCTGGTGGCCTACCACGTGGCCGTGACCTTCAGTAGCCTCAACAGCTGCCTGGACCCCATCGTGTACTGTTTTGTCACCAGCGGCTTCCAGGCCACCGTCCGCGGCCTCTTCCGCCGGCGCGAGCCGGGCGCTGGGGCCACCGTTACCATGCCCAAGAGTGCCAGGGATTCGGCTGACCACATCCTGGCCGCCAGCCCGCGCACGCCCCCACTGGCCCTGGCTAGAGGGCCGGAGGCCTAGCCAGTTGGACTCCGAGGGGACCCAGGTCAGGACTGGGTGGGCCGTGGCCCAGAGAACTCCCTCTGGCCCTGGGTCAGGGACAGCCGGCCTCTGCTGTGCCTGCCTGGTCCATCAGGATGATACTGACCCCGACTGCGTGCAGAAAGATACCTGGGCGCGGTCGATGGGCCCTGCCTGCCCCTGGCGTCAGTGGGGCGGTAGGGGGTTGAGAGTACATTTAATTGCCCTCTCTGGGAGGGGTGTGTCCTCTGAACACTCTGAGACGGAAGCCGCTGCTTCTCACTGGGGCCGTTTTGCTCCCCGCCCCCCAGCCAAGGTTCCTCAGAAAAATGGACAGAGTGTCCCAGGACTGGGGACACCCTCAAAAACACGCCAAGATGGGAGAACATGGCCGCGGGGAATGGCCAGAGACGCCAATGGTGCATGATGGGAATCGAAGGGTGCTGTCTCCTGGACGCCCACCCACAGCAAGACGTGCGTGGGGTTGAGCCCAGCAGGGGTCCATCTCCCCCCACCTCACCAAGCTAGGGGTAGGGAGAAGCCAGCGGGCCTCTCGCTGGTCAAAGGCAGAGTCAGGCTGGAATGGACCTCATCTGGCCCCGCCCCCACCCCACCCGCTCCACAGCGGTCTTGGCTGAGCCTGCCCTGCCAACCTGCTCCAGATAGGAAGCCAGGAACACGGACACACGCAACCTGAACCTGAACCTGGGCCTCCCAGCCCAGGACCACCATCTCCTAGGACACAAGCGCTTAGTGCCCCTCTGGGAACTGGGGGTGGGGCTGGGGCTGTGGGCTCAGGAGGGCGATCACCTGCCCTTACTGGCTTGTCTCTGGCTTGGGCCTCTGAGCACCCCTCCAAGCTGGACTGTGGGATGGCTTTCCAGCACCTTGTGTGGTGGTCTGATCTCCCATAAGCTCTTTTAAGAAGTGTGCATGCGTGGGGCGGGGTTTGTGACAGAGGAGGGGCTCCTCCAGCCCCCTTGGGGGGCCAGAACCCCTGGAGCAGAGCTGTAACCTGGGCCGCAGGTCTTCCGTTGTCTGTGGAGACAAGGTGAGTAAGGAGGGGAGCAGGAGGGCACCCCTGGGTTCCCTGTCTTGGCTCCAGGCTTTCAGAGTGTGAACAGAGCCCCGTTTCCCAGGCACTGAGGCTCAGAGCAGGGAAAGGACTTACTCGGGCCCTGCAGGCCTGGCACTGCCTTTGCCTCCCCCCAGGGGGCCCTGGGGTACATGGGGAGAGGGGACTCTGAGCCCGGAGCCGCTCCCTACAGAGTGGGTGGCATGTGCACTCACAGCCCCGACCAGGAAGCCTGGAGCCTAAGAAATCAGGCGGATCCCAGCTGGACAGGAAGGTGGAGGTGTAAAGAGACCCCCACCCAGCCACTGTCATCACACTCAACCCTAGCAGTGTGCCAGGCCCAGGGTTGCCTGTGGCCAGCATCTCCCCTCTGTACCCCTCTCAGACCACCCGGAGCCTGCTGCCCCCAGTCCCTCTCCTAGGAGCGGGGTGGGGCCCACCACTTCTGAGAGCCCCACACCCCAGCTCCCTCGTGAAGCTCAGTATCCAGAGGAATGGGGTGGGGGAGGCAGCAGGGGCTCACCTACTGGGCCCTAAGGGTCACAAAGAGGCCTGAGAATGCCCTCTTTCAAGGACTGCAGGCTGGCCCGGCAGCCACAGAGGGGCCGTGTCCCAGCAGCCCCTGTGTGGTTCAAGCTGTCGGAGACCTCCAGGATTCCGGGCTCCCTTGCTCCTCCCAGAGGGGCCCTCAAAGCCCCAGAGACCACCCACCGACTCCCCCAGGACCTGGAGCTAGCTAGACACACCCCCTCTGGCCCTTGGCTCCCCCAGTACCATCCCTTGGGGTCATTGGCTATGGAGGCAGAGGGCAGTGGGAGGGACCCTAGGCCCAGAGTAACAGTGGGTGCAGATGGGACCACATTTGGTTTCTGGGGACCAGCCCCCGCCCCTGGGGTGGGTGCCCCATCAGCCCTTCCTCCCCTTCTTCTTTCCATCTGAGCTCCCCCATCCTGGTTTCCTGCCTGCTTCTCACTCTCATTCACGCTAAAGTGTGAAGGACTGATACTGACTGATTGCTGGGGCTTGCTGGTGGAGAGGTGCCAGCTTTTGTGGAACACTCCCTTGCTCCTGGCGGCAGGGTCTCTAACATGGGTGGGCAAGCACTGTCAGCCTGCTTCTTCCCACAGACCATCTATATTGGGGGTCAGGGGCAGAACTTGGAAACTGATCCGCCCTTCCTTTTGTCTCTGACACCGAACTGCTATGGGCCACCTGAGATCTCCAGGGGCGACTGAGGCCTCTCATGCCAGTAGACAGAGGTGCCAGTCGTGTGTGGAAGGGTCAGGTATTGGGGACCAAACAGGCAGCGCCCACTCTAGGCTGGGCGGGGTCTCCTTCACCCCCCACCTCCTCTCCTCATTCTTGTATTTGGGGGGGCACAGGAGACTATTCACCCCGCCCTTGTCTTCCCGCTCCCAGCAAGCGGGCCCCATCCACTCCCTCCGATCCTTGCTCCCTCCTCTTGATGGCTGACTCACTCCCACTCCTGGACACACAGACCCAGGAGTCCCCAGAGGCCAAACTAGCCCAGGACCGCCCTTGGACTCACTGTGCCCAGCTGCCAGGTCTCTGCCCCCACCCTGAGGCTCCTTCCTGGACTGTGGAGAAGCAGAATTGCAAGGGCTGGCTCGTGTATTTATAGCCGATGTAAACACTCCTGACCAGAAGTCCTGAATTAAAACTGTTTATCCCTCGGCATGCCCGAGGTTCAGCTCCCTGGCTGGCGAGCAGGGGATGAGTGGGGAACCCTGAGCCAGGCAGGGGACCTCCACATCCTTCCCTCTCCACAAGGTGCCCTGTGGATGGGCACGGATCCCTAGGGAAGGTTTCTGGTCGAGCGCCTGCAGCGCCTGCAGCCCAGCCGGCTGTGTTGGAGAAAGGGTTGAGATGTTCAGGGTTGAGCTTGTGGACTAGAGTGGGCACAGGGTCTTCAGGGAGAACTTAGGGAGCAGAGACCAGCAAGAGAACCATCTTTGACCTCTTCCTGGTCTCTGGAAGAGGACATGGTCAGTGGTGTGGATGGGACGGCCCCTAGTGTCCTGCCCTGTCACCAGCAGTAGCCTCTGGTGGAGATTAGGAGGAGCCAGAGCCCCCTGGCAGGGGTTCGGGAAGTACCCACTCCCCACAGGCCTGCCAAGTGCCTGCTGGGCACTGAATCCCCTGATGATCCTGGGTTATCGCTCTGCATGTGGGGAAACGGAGGCTCGGGAGTTATCACAGGGCCTGCTGGTGGCTGGTTCCCTCTGGGCCAGGGAAGCAGAGGCAGATGTGGGGAGGGGGCGGGGTGGTGGTGGCTGGGTCTCTTGTCCAGCACCCTGCCGGCTGGAGGCGTCGGGGGTAAATATTAGGGCCTGTTTAGATTAGACTCCATTAATCTCTAGAAATGTCAGCTTGGCGCCAACTGCACTTCCTGCAGCCCTGACACCCGGCAGGAGTGGAGGCGTCGGGGTACTTGCTGCCCGTCAGATTTACAGCCTGTTCACAGGCACCCCCAGCTTCTAGCCCCCATTCTCCCTGCAGCCCACCCCTACTGTTCAAGAGTGCCTCCTGCCAGGGGCCTGGGGACCCCAGCTCTGCATGACCAGGGCTCTCTGCACACACATACACACACACCCCACTAGGGTTGTGCAGGGACAGATGCCTGGAGGAGATGGGGATGGGGCTGTGGCCACCAGGGACAGGACCCCAGTGAAAATACACAAGGGGGCAATTTCCCAGCACCCCAACCCTCAGGGCTCAGCCTCTCACCGCAGGGCTCACACTCTGAAGCCACTGAACAGAACCCTGAGGCTGGCAGATGCCAGTGTCCCCAGCCAGGACAGCAGGACACCTGTTGTTCCCGGGGAGAGTGAGAGAAGGGAGACATTGGCCCTCCCTTCCCGCTGTCCACTCGGTCATGGGAGCCCCTGAGAGGGTGGGTCTGTCGGCCACATGTCAGCAAGGACCCACTGACTTGCAGAGGGAATGGGGCCAGATGTGTGGGGCAAGGCTAAGCCCCTGAGACCCCCCCCTCTAAGGAATGCCCCGCCCCATCTCAAGAGACCACTCTGCCCCAGGGCTGTGAGCAGCACCCTTCCCTTCTCAGCCCACCCCACCCGTCCTGTAACCCCTACCAGGTGTGTCTCAGCCCAGCCCTCGTCCCTCCCCCTCTGCTGCCCCTGCTTTCCCTGGGTGCTGGGAGGCCAGGCTGGTCCTCCCACCCCATCACCTCAGAACAGATTGCTTGGCCCAGCCTCCCCTCCTCTTGGACCCTGTCCTGCCAGCCCACCACCCTGGCTGAGCCCCCTGAGACCCTGCCTTCCATCCCCCACTTCCCGGAATCCAGCCTGCAAGGCCGGCTGAGAGTTTGGCTGGGACACAACTGGTGGGAGCAGCCCAGGGTGGAGGGCAGGGGGTCTCAAGGCCCACAGGTCCTCTGTCCAGCCTCGGCTGCCCACCTGGACAGGAGGGTCTCCCCCAGATGGCCCCTACCCAACTGGGTGTCCCCTCGAGGTGGTGCTGAGGGCTTTGAGGCTGAGAGCCAGGAGACCCCGGGCAGTTCCAGGCTCCTGTGCTCTGCCATCTGTGAAGAGGAGCCCTGCACCCACACAGGTGCCTCCAGCCACAGCACCGGGGCTCTCTCAGAGCGCCAGCCAGGAAGGCAAGCCCATGTGGCCTCTGCTTACTCCCTCGCCGCAGGGTGGCATCGGCTTCTCAGCACATCAGACCCTGTGCTTCTGGGCCTGGCTGGCACCAGGATCTCCCTGCCCACCCACCCTCAGGCAGCACCAGGGCCCTTTCTATAGGGGGACCCCAGTCAACGAGGGGGGGGCATGCAGGTTCCTGGAGCCGGAGTTTACCTGCTCATGCTAATCCGCCCCTGATGAAGGGCTAGATGTCTCCCAGGAGACCCCCACACCCTACTTGCTTGGTCTCTGGGGACACC